TTCCATTACTATCACTTAAAATATTTTCTCCCTCTTTGGAATCTTTCACATACCCTGATGCATAAAGAACATCATTTACGCTACCTAGATATAAATCTGGTTCGAAAACGCTGGCCAGTAACTACAGACCAACGAATATTACGCCTGTAGTTTCCGGAATTACGGAGAAAGCTATTAAGGAAAGCGTTCTTCAGCAAACGCTTAGTGACAACATCATCAAATCAAGTGAACATGGGTTCCTAAAATCGAGGCCCTGTATAACCTGCCATCTTGACTCCTTTAATTTTAAAACCACCATGCGCGGCCGGCACCAATTAGCCCTTGTGCCTTATCTGGACATTTCAACGGCATCTGACGCGGTTGGTCACTTATTGTCAATATGTAAGTTGAAGTTCACGGGAGTTGACCATCCATTAATAGGATAGATTAAGTCTTCCCTCAGCAATCGCACCCTATTGGGAAGGTAGATCCACACACTTCAAAACCTAGGCCAACTGCCTCTGGTGTGGTGCGAGACAGTGCGCTAAGTCCTTTTCCCCTTGCTTCATAGGTCGATGACGTCTACAGCTGCTTTACACACGATAAGCCATTCTTTTTTGCTGATGACGTAAAAGTTGCACACACGTTTACCCATGATGATCTATCCCACTTCTGAGCACTAAGACAAGGGGGCTTGATATAAAGTCTACATGGTCTACTGCCTCGGTTCAATACATGCAAGTGAGGCTGGATGTTTTGGTGCGCCATCAGCAGACATCCAACCACATCTCAAGCCTATGAAACTACCTGTTCTCAAAAGCGTGTGATCTCTGGTTGAAGATTTCAAGGGACCTCACATTTTCTGAACAGGTAGCATCACGGACTCGCAAATCTAGGTTGCATAGTTCGTAACTTCCACTCCAAAGAAGTCAAGTTGCTACTCCATAAAACCTGCGTACGTCCACTATTAGGATACTGTCCACTTATATTGAGTGGTATCCACATAAAAGACAAACAAAAAATAGAGGGTATCTAAGGGTATTCCTCAGCTAGAATACTAGGACACGGTTGCGAAGAAGGCTACAGCTCCAAATGCAGAACACTAGGTCCAGAAACACTTCGGATGAGACAACTCAAATTAACCTGACACTATTCTTCAATGTGTTACATAAACACGCGTTTACAGCCAGTGAGTTTCAGTTCGAACACAACAGTTGTTAGGATCTGCGCAACCACGCCCATAGCGCCAAAATGAAGTCGTTCAAGTCCTGCTTGCGCGCAAACTTCTTTGCCGTCAGATCCCCTCAGTTGTGGAACAGATTTCCAGCTAAAGTGAAGGTTTCCAAATCAGCCTTTTGAATTTGGTCGGTTACTGGCTGGCTTCTTATCAAATGGTGACCCCTACGGCTTATCGAATTCACCAACAGTCTCTTTCACGCCACTTCGTATACTCGGCTCTCTTAATGTGTAATGGGAGCCACCACACATACACTGACTTTTCATACGAAGCACTGAGGAGACTTCCATGAGTTACCACCTCTAACTAACGACACACTCTGCCCCACCCAACACGGTAATCAAAAATGGAAATCCTATACCGCGTTACGGCATAAAATTTATATTTTTAAATACTCTATAGAAAAAGGATATACAATGAAAGCCATAGCGAAGGAAGTTAAGTAGGGAGGAACGTGAACATAGAAAACACTCTCCTTGTTGAAATTCTTGCTTTCTCCGCCTGCTGCTTTGTCTGTTTTTTTCTCGTTGTAGAAAAGTAATTCAGTTCTAAACGTTGGCTTTTTTGCCATCGAGAATTAATTACTTAAGGAACAGACCATGGCTGGAACTACCCTTCATGGAGGGTAACCAGCTTTACCAAGTTCAGAATACCTGACTACAACAAGCAGAAATAAAAAAATGTTCACTGGACTACAAGTTCATAATTATCAAAATGTAGGACTAGCTCATTATAAAAGTGACCAGCAAAGTCCAACACTTACCAGCTGCAAGGCTGTCACGACCCGTGAAAAGGAAGGACAAGGCGTTCTGGAAGTCCACTTGGCGCATTCAAACAAGCCTATTGCTTCTGGATGCTGGAGTTGGAAAAGTGAAGACATTTGGCTTTCAGTCATAATATTCACCAAGATTGTGAATCTTCGTCGCGGAATGGTGTTAACATGGATGAATTACACAGTTTTGGAATCGTCAACGAAGTACAATATGTAAACAATTCATAAACTTTTCATCGTTATCTCAAGCAAAAAGTACAAACTGTTACAATGGAAGTATTGGCTTCAAGCTTTATTTTTCTCCAGATAATATTTGTAGTGTCTGGATACAAACCTGGTTTTTTGTTAATGCGAAGACAATACTTCCACTTGCCCAATCTGTAAATTTTCTGCACACTTATTCTTCTGGGATGTTCCATTATATGAACATGTAGCACCGATATCTTCTAGTGACAACCGGTGGGGACCGAGATTACCTTCCATGAAGATGCATGTAATTTATGTATAAGCTTATTCATACCCGTAAAAATGGTGTGTGCCTGTATATTCGGGAATAAATATCATAATCATTATCTGCTCCTCTTCTTGATCTGATCTTGTTTCCAGTAGGTTGGCTGCGTCTCCACTTTCCTCACACTGGGGTGGAGTCCATCTGATTTTTAGTGTACTGTGTCCACCTGGTCAATGGTGAAACCAAATTCATGCAGCTTTGTCAATATCTTCGTCTTTGTACACGCGGCCTCCAATCACCAAGTCGTAGAATGAGCAGAGAGCTGCAAACGGTTCTCCGTTCCCATTCTTCATTTCGCCGAGTGCTTCCGACCCATGATGATCACTTCTCTTCCTGTGTTGTCCGCGCCAAGTTTGGCATTCAGGTCACACCACTGGGATCTTCATGTCGCCAACTGGGGTGTGTGAGCTCTTGTCCAGTGTTGATTGCAGTTATCTGTACCATTCCTCATTCTTCTCTTCATCTGCATTATTTGTAGGTGCGTAGCGTAGCCCGTATGATTGTGACTTTCATTCCTTTCGAGTTGAATCTTGCTGTCATGATCCTGACTTCCCGGTAGGAGGTTGGCTGCCACTGCATGGGAACCTTTGATGCTCTCGGGGACACCATGATAACCACTTCAAAACTCAGTGCGCTTGTGGTTGTTGTCTGGGTGAAAATATCAGTGTAGATTACTGATTCTCCAGTTGACAGTTGGGAGAGTCCACTTCCATTCGATCTGCTTTCTCAGATTCCTAACACTTCTGAGCTATACTTTCTCATCTCTTTGAAAATCTGGGCAGCCTCGCTAGGTTCATACATGGCGCAGTCATTCCATGTCCTCATCCTTACTTTTGTTTTCATCGAAAGAAGACACAACGGCCAACTGGTTTCTCGAAGGCTTTCACCAATCGGCGTCATATGGTCCCCCTGATTCCAGCGAGGAAAAAGGTTAATTTTATGTTTTATGTTTTCTATGTGCTTTGAAGTCGCCTTAGCGATTGGTTTTTGGGGGTAGGATTGCTAGCCCTATGCTTAACCCTCTCTCTTTTTCGGGTTTAGAACCGGCCAGCAACTAGCGAACTACTTACCTTTGCGAGGTTAAGGATGTTTATAGTTGACAAACATAGAAGCCGTCCAAATTCATACTATCTGGGTGAAATAAATATCTCTTGGCTGTATTGTGTTCTCTGAGCTGGGTGGTTTAATCACGATTCAACAACCCAACTCAGAGAACACAATGCAACCAAGACCACCCACCTGAGCTACAAGTATTCTCCATCATTTCGAAATAAATATGTCACCCTAAAGTGGGACAAGATCCGAGAGTTACATTAAGTGATACACTAGGAGCTTCGGTCCACTGTCGCTTTGCAGCCAGAAAGGCCTATGGAGTCTTGGGGTTTCTCTCGCGAACTTTAGGGTGTCTAACTTCTCTTCCCACAGCAGTGCATGGACTATTTATCCACCCACTCTCGTGATGTCCATATACTTGGAAAGGAATATAGCCATCCTAGGACGGGTTCAGAGAAGGGCTATGGATAAGGTGATTTGGTTACAGTACGGACTTTATCTAGATCACCTAGTGGTTAGTTAGCTGCACCCAGTGCAATACCAGAGGATCGGTGGGGATGTGATCATGATATAGCTCATTGCCCATAATTTCCTTCACCCTGACAGATCCCTCTTAAGCTTTAATTGGAAACGCTACCTTGGGGGCAACCTTTTAAGGATACAGAACGTATTAAGATCCATGCTAATTCGCCTGCAGTTAGAGTTAGATAAATGTGTGAACTCCCTTTCCTAGGTAGTTGTTACAACTCAATCCCCTGATGCTTTCTAAAGGAGGTCGAGTTCGCGTCTAAAGTTTTGGGGTACCGATAGACTGTACTCGAGAAGCTTTCCGTCATCTACAGATCAGTAAGAGTAATACTACCTTGAGACCAGACTAATTAATAATCGATTAACTCTATCCTTCCAAGTTTATCGGGACCAGTAAAACAACCGTGACCATTTCAAGAGTAGAGCGTACTACAGCAAAACAGACTTAGAACCCAGGGAACAATAGTGCACCAATTTCATAGCATGAAGTTTGAATGTTGATGTTGAAGTCTCAAGGCTATGATCATGAAGGTCACACGGTGGGAACTTCGCTTTCTATGACTTTCAGTCCGTGCTGTAGAGTCGTCAGAAGCTGTTGTACAGGAAATCTGGGGGTACTGTGTTCTCTCCCGGTTGCTTTGTCTCTGTCAAACACCAGAATATGTAACATACAAGCTCGATTATGTGTTAGGAATTTCAAGCAGTCAGTTTTGCCTAAGAGTTCGTTTATTCTTGACACACGGAAAGCTATTCAGCGTAACCCCGACTCATCAGGAGTCCAGACAGACCTTAATGATATCTTGAAGGGTCAGCCGCCACCAGTGCAACTTAGACTTGTAGACGCCTATCGTAAAGGATTTCAGTCATATACTGAAAAAGAAAAGTCATCCAAGAAAGTTGAAACACGTTTTGTATACTTTATGAAGTTGGTTAGCCTTGGAATATCTGCAATTGTTCTTATAGAGCTGGGCAACAGGTTCCTCTCTGGTAATCTTTCATTTTATAACTACTTGACTAATTGAATATTAGGTGTGTTTCCAAAGCTTCTGAATCCTAATGTGGCTTCATTCGCAGAAAATGTTAATGTTACTTTCAGTGATGTTCAAGGCGTAGGTTTTTATTTCAGTAACTAAAAACGTAGTGCGATGAAGTGAAAAAAGAACTTCAGGATATTGTTGAATTTCTTCGAAACCCTGAAAAGTTCAATCACATTGGAGCTAAGCTTCCCAAAGGCGTTCTTTTAGTAGGCCCCCCAGGAGTGGGAAAAACACTGCTCGCCAAAGCTGTTTCTGGAGAAGCTCAGGTATGTTTCCATTTGTATCTGAATGTATTTTGTCACAGTCTGTTTGCAACTACTGTAAAGCATTACTAAGATCCCTATTAGTGAGGCTGTGAAGTAGCTAGACAAACCAATGATCAAAACTAAAATCTAAACTTTTGAATACCTGGTAGTAGTGAGTATTAGTGCTAAGCAATCCTGTAAATAGTAATGTGACTGGTTATGGTTACTCGTTCTAAACGCTATGAGGGAGACTGTACTAACCGTAGTGAATATAATAACTGGGTCTTTCTAAAGTGAAAAGTTTCTACATTCCTATACATTGTATTTTTCCTCTTCTAAACTTAGCTATACTGTATGACTCTAACTGCAGTATTTTCAGGTTTCACTCTGAAGTTTCTATTTATGCAAGCTCAGGTGGATTTTTATGGTTTTCTGAACTTAACACCAACTTCCCGAAATATTTGTCCTTTTAGTCTGGCAAACTTATCACTCCAAGTAACAATAAAGAACAAGCCGAACCCACGTCACTGATCTTTTGACCGGCGTTACGAGTACCAGGCCAATCATTACCCTAAAATCCACATTTTATTTCCGCATCTGATGAATAGCATATTTCTTTCCCGACCGAAAATTAATCTCTCGTCTGCAAGTTCTAAATTATCCAATCTTTGAACGTATGCTGATTGACAATGGACTGTATGGTTTTGAAAAACTAGGCCACCGATTTAGTATGATTCATCATAAAGGTGTATTTTTAATTGCTATACTGGCGTAGCATATTGGAAAAAATAACAAAACAGACATTTTGCATTATTCTTTGTTTTACGCCTGAATACACCCCTGTGTATTAATAACTAGTAGTTGAAAATTGATTAGCATCAATAAAAACAAACCCCTAACAGCTTGGTCTTCGTCTAAAACTTAAACGGGATTACTTTATTTTAGTTCTGTGTTATGGTTCAGTCATTAGAGAGCCCTTGATTTAGGTTTCATACTTGTCGGCATTCATCATCAAGGTATACCTGCAATCTTGAGGAAAACCAGATTCTCACAGAGATTTGAATTTGTGTCGCTCAGTGGGGAAGTCAGACTTTCGGAATATATCCATTTGCTGCATGCTGACTTGTAAATTTTTTCATCTTCACATCCTAATATTTCCAATGTAAGAGGCGTAGTACTGTAAATGTTTGCACTTAAATGCAAATTTTACGACAATCGGATCACTGATTCATACTCTTTTACTTAATACATCCTGATCAACTCCGTTATATCTTGAAACACAATAAGAGCAGCTCAATAATTGTAAACGTGATGTTACACTTCATGCTAACTCCTACTATATTATTCAGCTGTACAGAGTTTAAGTTAGTGCTAAATTCTGCGTGTCGCATATCATCCTCAAAGTTTGTACTATGCGGACTGTTGTCGTGTGGCATATTTAACTCTCCCTGACTAACCGACAAAATTAACGCAACTCAGCACCACTTTACATGTCCGTGCAATGGACAATTAGCCGTATGCTGTGGGCGGCAGTGATACTTTGAAGTCACCCAAACCTCAATAGGTAAAGTGGGGTCTAAACCTTGACTCATTAGTAGTTGAAAATAAACTGTTTAAATCAAACCATAGCATGGGCGGTTGGCGTATCTCTTTATCCAATTTTGAAATGTCACATGATTTCCATTCAGGTTTCAAATCCTCAGTTTTGTTGACTCGACCATTCTATCACACAAGCAGTGTTGCTTGTAAAAAAATCACTAAAAGTTACATGCATATCAGAAAGTGGATGGGGTGACTGTAATAGGATACACTCGAAGTAACAATATATGTCACTGTTCAACTATTTAGAATTCCAACTGGCTTTAAAATTCTCGGGAATTTATTCCTAAAGTATAGGACTGATGGTAGCTTCGTTTTCTAGCTCGTATGTCATATGCCTTTTATTTACATTCAATACACCAGTAACGATTTTTAAGCATTGCGATTAGTAGTTTAGTGCCGCTTTAGTTCAGATGTCATGCAAAGAATACCTACTCAAAATATACAAATGTCCAAGCTGTACTTATCATGTGAAGACTAATGATGCTACCTAACTCAAGTGGAATTAACTGTATTAATGCTTGAACCCGATGTTCTACCGTTGGAAATCTTATCTCAACCATTAGGTCACATCTTCAGCTGTCGAAAGCCACTGCCTCCGGAGGTATTCTGTTTTAAATTTTCATACAAATCGTTTTCAAAATATGATCTTTCAGATGCAGGTATTTATTTTTTTTCCAAACTGATGCATAATCAGGATTAAAGCATCTGCGTTAGAAAAAGCAACCACTTTCCATTAATGCTATTCACGGGTGGGTAATCTTTGTACCACCGTATTAATATCTTTATCCAATGCCCGTATTTTATCTTAGCGACCTATCGATTAACTACAATATTCTACTCTTCTGATGTTTCTAGTTTTTCTCTGTACTGTTACGAAGTGTAGCATTCTGTACAAATGCTGTTCTAAAACTTGCATTACACAGTTAACTTTTAGAGCTAGTCGATTCTAAGTTATGTCAGCAGCGAACTACTCTGAGTTCATATCTCAAGCAGATAACTATCCTCATCATTCTACAGGAAGGATATTCCGTAAAACCATAGCTGTTTTTTTATGACTTCGTCTTATTCATTCTTGAATGTCACTGTCAACGACATTTTGCAAAACAGTTTGTTAGACTGGTCTACTTCACTGATCATTGCAGTCCATAAGAAGGGAGATATGCCTTCTTGTGGCAACCATGGAGGAATTAGTTTTACTAATTTTGTGTCCAAGATCCTAGGATCCATAGTTATCCGATGCCCAACCAGAGCTCGAGAACAGAAAACATGAGAAATCCAGGCAGGTTTCAGACCTGAACGAGAGTGCTTCGACCCGATTATCACCCTCCTACGGGTTCTGCAACACAGGCATACAGTCCAGTGGCCGACACTTCCCATATTTCTTGACCTAAAAGTGACGTTTGACTCTGTTGACCGTGGGGTGTTTTGGCAGTGTCTGACTGTGAAATGGGTACTGAGCAAGAATTTCATGCTTATCATAGCTCTGTACTTGAACTCACCCAGCCATGCGAAAGCTTATGGAGAGCTTTCATTAAAATTGACGGTAACTAGTGTTGTTCGCCAGGGCTCCCGACTATCGCCGTTCCTATTCAACTTCGTGATAGAAGTGGGCATAGGCGTAGGTATGTCTGATCTCACCAGGATTGACCTACTCCCTGTAGGTCATCTGGTTTACTTGGAGTGTGCAGACTATATTGTCCTGCTGGGTAAGGACGTTGACAAAACCCACGGTGTTCTAAACGCGTTGATCAACAATCTGAGTATATTTACCATGCTATTCGCACCTGTCAGATGTAAGATGATGCTCCAAGACTGGTCTGCAACAACTAGTTTAAGAAAAGGTAGTGAAGTGGTTTAATATCGAAGGCTTTGCTTGGGGAGTTTCATTAGCCCAAACTAACTGGTTACTGACGAAATCTCAGCTCAAATATAGAAAGCCCGTTTGACACTTGCCAACCTGCATCACTGGCGCCGGCAAAATATCAAAGGACGAACATATTGCCATGTAGTCCATTCTCTCCTCCTATACGCCTGTCAGACATCGACGTTAAAAGTAAGTGATACCAAGCGGTTACAGCGTTTTGATCACAAGTGTCTTCGCAGCATCTCTTGAGTTTAGTGGAACTACCGTATGAGCAATGTTGAGGTCAGGCGAAGGCTACTAGGCAAGATAGGCAAGTCGGTTGATGAGGTTGTGAACCTTGGTCGACTGAGATGGCTCGGATATGTGCTGCGCATACCGAGTCACCACCTACCTCGACACTACAGGAAGCCGAACTGGCTTGGAAGAGGGTTCAAGGTAGCCAAATCAAGTCCTGACACCACTCCATGACATCCCTGACTGTTGGTCTGAGTTGTGTTGAACGATGTAGACTACCTACCTGGCTAGGGTCCCCGAGACGAGAGGAATCAGTGGTTGAGAAGTGTTGGTGAAATTGGGTAAAAATCAGTCACATTGGTGCAGATGTATTTACTCGTTGACATCTCTTAGAGTTTGAATATTTTCACTAACCATTATCCTCAGATTGTTGATTCTCTCACAAACTCCGTTTACTTTGATATGGGTCTTTTTCTATCCACCTGTTCTTTGTGAAGTGTGGCAACTTGAAACGATGCACTTGTGCGCGATGTTATATGTATAATTTGTTTGCCTGTCTTTCTGTATTGCTAGCGACCGTGATTGTCCATGGTTTACAGGCTGGTGTACAGTTAACATTTAAGAGCGAAATATGTTGTGAAAAAGTCTTTTATCTTGCTTTGTAATTACGAGACGGAAACGTTTACTATGCAGGTTGTGAGAAAGTCGTAGATATTCGATCATGAATGTTTTAAAAGTACCACCTATGTATTGTTGATTACAAATCAACCCGGTGCATTCTTATGTAGTAATCTATGAGCTAGACTGAGCGTTAGGGCATATGATACTATCTAGTTACCAAGGTGATAGTAGGCACGGTAAGCTTCTGAGAATTGAGCTCATAGGCCAATGCATCATATCTTTTGTCCAACTACTAGTAGTACATTCCTAGGCAAGAAAAATAAATAGATCAAAATGGTTGTGAACTTCCATCGAGTTAGTTGGTTGATATATGCCTCAAGTGAACCAAGCTCCATCTTTTTCAATGAGTACTGTCAGGTGGAGTAGAATTAGGTTGGAAAGGTTTTAAGATTGACCAGATTGAATCATGCTAATAATCTGTGACTGTTAGTCTAGACGGTGTAAACTGTTTGACTGGGATTTCTATATCAGTGACTGTGATTCACATATTAGTACCCGAGAATCGCTCTTTCAAGTTTCAGATGGTCATTCAACTCAGTTATCTGTTCCAGCTGAATTCCACTTTCTTGTGTAACAAACTCACAAAGAAATCTGTCGCGCAATTATAACAAGTGGGTTGTGATTGATTATTATGTTCGAGGGAGATAGTTGTGTAAGAATATTGTAACTCATTATGAATTAACAATCATTCTTGTAGTTTTATGGTGCGAATTTCGGAATCATGCATCTACCGACTATCTACCATTTTTGGTTCTTTGTTGTAGGTTAATTGACCCATAAACGCTTCCGAGGTGCCTTCTTTGAATGGTAACACAGTGGAGGTTTTGAATTCCCTATTCATCTTGTCACCATCAATACCACTATTATCATTATTATTCGTAGGATTATTATTAACACCTGTCTTACTACTACTGCTCAAATTTGTCTTACGATTTCTTGTGAATTTATTGAATAATTTAGGTGAGGGATTATTGAGATGTAAGATATGAATGTGTCTAGTTTCCTGTCTCAGGTTCTCCGACCTATTTTAACTGAGATAAGGGGAGATAACTTGAAATCCAAGTAGCGATTCAAATGGGAAGATCTCCTACAGACACTAGTCTCTAAACATCCATCTTGCTTTCGTTTCATATTACAGTCCAACAGTGCTAACTCACTTTCATCAGTTTTTAAGTTATAGGTAAATTGGATTGCGTTCACTACCAAATTTTTCTGTAAGGAACCTACTAGTGTGCTCCGATTTCATAACTGTAAATATGTCAACTACATATCTAAACTGTATCTTTGGAGTAGGACTAAATGTTTCAAGGGCTATGGGTTCCCAACTATCCATGAATGTCTGCGAGGATAGGGGATATTAGTGATCCTATGGCAACCCCTTCAGTTTGCCTCTATATTTTGCCTTGAAACTTAAAAGTTGTAGACGTCAGGCATAACCATACTCCTTAATTGGTATTTCAGTTCTGTGCTTAGGCTCAATGTCATCTTTAAGCCCATTTCTAATTGCTTTAGAGTCATGTCGATTGGTATATCAGTGCGAAGGCTAGTTATATCAAAAACAAACACTTTTCCATCGTCAACTAATTGTAAATCATCTAATCTGTAGTTTAAGTCAAGAGTTAGTGAGTCAAGATGTTAAATGGCTTTGAATTGGGCCTAGTACCATTGCAAAATATCCAGACAACTAATAAGTTTAAGTGTTTTTAAAATCTAATATAGGCCTGAAGGGATCACCGGGCTTATGAATCTTAGTAGTACCATAAATTATACGGTGACTCTTAGCTTTCGGCATTGAATTAAACCATTTTGAGTCGCCTAAAAAACCCTTCATTCGGCGTATCAAATCTGTGGATGTCCTAACCTTATTCAGTGTTAATCAGACTAGTAGTCGCTGATTCGAATCCGGCCGCGGTCCAGATTTTCATCTCACCTTCAATCATCACCCAGTATAAATACTAGTCTCCCAAACTACGGCTATCTTAGATAGTCAAGTGATAATTATTCATAATAGTATCCACCGGTTTTTTTATTTTTTTCATATGGTGTTGTTTCTGTACGTTCGTCCACTTTGTGAATGCAATCAGATTTGTTCATCACAATCGTTGAGTTGCTATATTGTTATCATTCCGAAAGTCCTTAGGAGATTTTCTTTCTAGTTTGAGTAAATTAGGTTTCACTTTCTTTTATCGTTTTAGTGGTAGTGCATATTGTTCGCTTACCTTATCTACAATTGTCTCATCTATTGAACTCAACACTATTTCTATTTTGGGGGTTATATCTGCTGATTTCAATCCATTGACCGCCACATTGAAGGCCTTTCTCTAGCACCATTATTTCTGCTGAGCTTAGGACTCTAGTTAAGAGATTGGCAACCAACTTTGACTTATCGATTATTGGTGACGTGATATTGGTAACCTTATTATTGTTGAGTGCCTAATTTTCTTCCATAAGTTTGTGGAACTTCTTAGTTTGAGTATCTTTGGATTTCTTGAAAACAATTGGTCTCACTTTATTTCAATTGTCCATCAGAAGTGCATAGTCTTTCTGTCTAACTGTTTGCATCAGCTTATATTTTAATTCTTCCATATAATTCCTGATGTTTATCAGACAAAGTTAAAGCAGCTATGAAACGTATCAGTAAAATCTATCTTAAAAAAGAAATTCATAGAATAGTCAAAAACTTGTAAAATATCAGCTTGCAATGTCATCTAAATTAGGGTTAGGTCTAAACTGACTATAGTTCATTATTCTCAAAACTAGTCAAATATTTGCAGTATTATTATCTAGTATGTCACATTATTTCGAAGTCATTAATTTATAAAATAGCATAAAAACAAAAGTTCAGAAACTTTGATGTACTGTAGGTTCCAAGAGAAAGTTACAATAAGAATCATTTATAAAGGCCAGTCAACACAAAAATCTAAACCTGTTTACTATACAACCGTATTTAATTAAATGTTACTTGTAACATTTTATGGTTGAAATTATTAGGTGGCTTTTCATTTTTTTTTTCACTTCCATCGTTTTATAATTATTATTCTCCTTCGTGTCATTAGCAGCACTTTAAATTTAACTGTTTTACGTTTGTGGTACGTTAACTGGCTGAAATTAGTCTACAGAATTGTATGACTTATATCTTAATATATGAACGCATCCATAAGTAATTGGTCACACCTATCTGTTATTGACTACAAACAGTATGTATGAAAAGTAAACGAATACGTTCTTACATGTATTACTCATATGAGGTTGGTTAGATACACTGATGAGTGGCAACAAGATAGTAAGTTTAGTGTTTATGAATATGTTTCATAGTTTCCTAAAAGGTATTCTGCCATTAAAGTATGTCAGTAATTAACTGGAGTTCATACCATTCTAATTCACTTCCCTTTATGTACAGGTACCTTTCTTATATGTTTCTGGAAGCAGTTTTGAAGAGGTTTTCGTTGGACTAGGAGCTTCTCGTGTTCGACAACTTTTGCTTCTGCTAAACGAAACTCACCATGTTTAATATTTATTGATGAAATTGATTCTGTGGGCAGGAATAGAACATCTTCACCTCATCATCCGTATGCAAATCAGACAATAAATCAACTTCTTGCAGAAATGGATGGTTTCGAGTCTACAGAAGGCATTATTGTTCTGGGTGCAACAAATCAAGCAGAAAACTTAGATAAAGCTTTACTAAGACCTGGTCGTTTTGATGTTCAAATCTTTGTATCACCACCAACTTATGAAGTTAGTGTTTATGTTCATCTAGTCTCCAAAATCGATTATGATTTGGTTTCTTCAAGTGTATTTCTCTATTCGTTGTATAATTGGAATATTTCATCGTTATATTGGATGGCTTTTAGTAACAAAACTCTAATTTTTTTCTTACTGAATGTTTAAAACGCTTATTGGTTAACACTACTGGGTGTAAAGCAGACAAAATAAATTACAACTTTTGGTATGATCAATACACTTTGATATGAGATTACTAAATTTACTCGGAGGAAAGTTCCAGTAATCTAAAGCAGAATCAACTACGATGTGAACGAAGTGCGTTCCTTGATCGATAAGTCTGGATAAGTACTTTAAATCAAATAGAATGGCATAAGTTGTCAATTAGCAGCATGTTAGTGGACCAAGTTCCAGGCTATCTTAGTGCTTAATGTGGTGGGGACCTTTTCTTAACTCTCATCCCTTCCTGAGATCGACTTACAGTGGGTTTTGGATATCACGAATATTATATAGTAATGATGGATAGTGGCTAGCAGTGGAATCCAGGATGTACATTTCGTCCTATTTAGGACTCGTCAGCTAGATATACCTACCTCCCAGTGAGTAATGTTGAGGACGAAATGCGAATCCTGGATTCCACTCCTAGCCATTATCCATCAGTAATATATAATTAGAATGTAGGTAATATCGAGGCATCTGCGCAGGAGCCCATATGCCAATAGAGACCGATTAATTCGGTCCAATCAACGACGGTATAATACAAGCAATAACACTATCACGAACATTGTCAAACTTGTATGCTTTCTTTCTAAATCAAATATTTAATCCTATCATCTTACGCCATAACGCATGGATATCATGTGTTATACAACTTGATCGTTTGTCAAACTATTTGCAATAAAATATACTGACAGACAGACAAAATCAACGTATAACCTCATGCATAAGTGCATCGTTTCAAGTTGCCACACTTCACAAAGAACAGGTGGATAGAAAAAGACCCATATCAAAGTAAACGGAGTTTGTGAGAGAATCAACAATCTGAGGATAATGGTTAGTGAAAATATTCAAACTCTAAGAGATGTCAACGAGTAAATACATCTGCACCAATGTGACTGATTTTTACCCAATTTCACCAACACTTCTCAACCACTGATTCCTCTCGTCTCGGGGACCCTAGCCAGGTAGGTAGTCTACATCGTTCAACACAACTCAGACCAACAGTCAGGGATGTCATGGAGTGGTGTCAGGACTTGATTTGGCTACCTTGAACCCTCTTCCAAGCCAGTTCGGCTTCCTGTAGTGTCGAGGTAGGTGGTGACTCGGTATGCGCAGCACATATCCGAGCCATCTCAGTCGACCAAGGTTCACAACCTCATCAACCGACTTGCCTATCTTGCCTAGTAGCCTTCGCCTGACCTCAACATTGCTCATACGGTAGTTCCACTAAACTCAAGAGATGCTGCGAAGACACTTGTGATCAAAACGCTGTAACCGCTTGGTATCACTTACTTTTAACGTCGATGTCTGACAGGCGTATAGGAGGAGAGAATGGACTACATGGCAATATGTTCGTCCTTTGATATTTTGCCGGCGCCAGTGATGCAGGTTGGCAAGTGTCAAACGGGCTTTCTATATTTGAGCTGAGATTTCATCATCAGCTAACTCGTTCAGGCTAATGCAGCTTCTCAAGTAAGTGAAGTCGGCAAATTTCACAACTACTGTTAAATGATTTATTAAAAACCGTAATGGTCATCATCAACAAGAACAACAATTTTCACGTGCCAAAACATGGTGGATGATTTTTATTCCTTTGAGAATAGATTGGGTAAGAAGAACTATGTTTTATAAAATATATTGCATCAAGAAGAGAATCGTTGTTTCTTCGAACATCTGTTTAAGTGATTGGAAGACATCCTAGTTTTCTTGAGGATTTATGATCAGTTTCTGAAAGTAATGTCGAGTCATTTGAAAGACTGCTCATGAGGAAAGCACGAAATTTTGTACCGGTTGTGGAGTTCCGTATGTTCAATCATTGATAAGTCATGCTTCTAAGTAGTTTGCGAGGGTTATTGGTAGGATTCTGAAGCTAAATTTTCCAGCAAAACATCAGTTACATCCTCTTAACTTTCTTAAAATCTGTCAGTTTTCATCCCCTACCCGAGGCAAATGCAAATATCCCTGCAGTGCCCATGTGCTAGTTCATGCACTAGACAGTGTGAGGGCTACCCTAAGTTTGCTAGGTGGGATGGATGACACAGTGGTTGAAAGTTAACTCCTTATACCAGTGAACCACAATTCCTGATAGCAAATAAAATATACTCAAATCGACAATAGGAATTCACTCAGCAACCTAATGCAGTTGGCAGTGAATCACATCTAATGTGTGAGGGTTAATGATACTATTTGGCTGCCCAAACCTCGGTAGGTGGAGCGGCGTTTGGACCCCTAACCCACTATCTGATAGTCAGTTGCCTAAACCACTGACCAACAGTTCCACATATAAAGTATGGTAATTAACTTCAGTGCTTAGTGTAGACTAGTACTTTGACGGCAATCACATATTAATAACAAAGAACATGGTCTTATCTTAGCTTAATTTAGGGTTATGAATCACCTATTTTAATGTTACATAAAACTACAGACAAGTATTATAGTAGTTCATGTTTAAGAGAACAAAAGTATGTTACTCCTTTTTATTTTATTGTAGGGAAGACTTGCTCTTCTAAAGCTATACTTACGGAAAGTGAAAACAGGTTCAACTATTGACGTTGAGAAATTGGCTCATGGAACTGTTGGCTACACGGGTGCAGATATACAAAATCTAGTCAACCAAGTGAGTTTTTCAATGTTTTATAACCTTAATTTCTACGGCAGCGTACATGAAAATCTAATATGTTACAGAATTTCATTGTTTACAGCATACTTACCAATAAGACTAAAAGAACAGAAAATCTGAACTCATCCAGAAAGGAATCAAAAGATACACTTAGTTTCCTTCACTGACAGCAGTCACATGAACGTTCTAGTTCTTTGTGAAGCTTAATACAAGGGTATTCTTCTGAGTTGTGGTTCTGTTTGCCAAATATTTCAAACTCATGCTAGATGTGAACATCAGTGCTCCACAAATGAAATAAATTGAGTGTGCACGGATATTTGTTACATGCTGCATTACCTGAGCTCAACATGATTGGTCGTTTTGTGAATGTGTGGGTGTTTCCAACCTAATTGGTCGACACTCTCCGGCTTTCTGAGAAGGATGTGCAACTACGTCATTGGTTGACTTCTTTTGTTGAAATACATTATATTGAAGTCACTTTGTTGGGATTAATGATCCTTTCTCTTTTCAATGGACTAGTGAAGGTCGTGTTGACCTGCTTGGTTGACATTTTTCATATGACTGAAATGATAAGAGTCGCCTTGATCTGACTAGTTGACTCTTCTGTAATGGTGGGCTTGCTTTATACTGACTGGTTGGTTCACTTCAGTTGAAAGAGTGTTCTTTGCTATTGTTGTTTGTCTGGTTCCTACTAGAGGAGTATCCTGTTATTGATTGATTAACTTCATGAGGTTCATTGGGCATACGTGAGTTATTTCGACCTAATTAATTGGTGTTCTCTTCTCTGACAGTGTCAATGACTTTCCTATATTTTGACTGAGATTTTTCTTATTGATTCATATACTATGTCTAGTTCAAGTAATGATTTGTTGCTAACTTGTTAAATTGTCTTATCTTACCTCCTAAAATTCTCTGACTACTTTCGAGTTTGCATGTTTTAATATTTAAAGTAATCTTAGTCGAAAGTGTCGTCACAGTGTATTAAGACGAGAGAATTTAGTCGATTTTGTAAATCGTATTCGTCACTCCTGCTTTGTTCAATGAGTTTATCAGTCTGTATTAGATATGTTATACCAATTTCTGTTGATTTATGTGAATACCGCAATTCCAAGAGGACATAGCAATCCGACTACCGTTTTCAACATTTATCTGATATATGGGAAGAAGGTTTTCCTGTTAATTTTCCTTGCAGTTATTGATTCTCTCCATTTGGAAAGATATCTGTTAATAAATTTCTTTGGATAGCCGTTGAGTTTGAAGATTTCGGACAAATTGCCTTTCTCAGACTTCTTTGTTTCTACTATACTCCAATATTTATAGATATTCAAACCAGGTTGAGATTTGAAAATACAAATATCAAAATAATGAGTATACTGCAACGCGTTTTTACTCATCTAAACAGTGTTGTTGCACAGGCTTTGTTTTGGAATCTAGGATTGTTGTTATTTTTCTTTTGACTGAATTTTCTTATCTTCTTGCGCCCCACTGCCTTTTTACTTGATGTACTGATATGAGCTATGACAACTCGGATCGTTATGCAGTATTGTCTGGTCCTATGTTGATATTGATAATGATGATGATTGTTATTGTTGTCATCTCTATGAGTTGTTCTCTTGTACAACCTAATACTCAAGGTGTTCTTCGCCACTTTTTCTCACCAAAATATTTAAGAATTTCTGTAGTCCACTATTTTCATTCTTTATGAATTCAATTCCTTTGAAAACATTGTCGACTAGGCCTTGAGAATATTAAATATCATCATTATTAAGTATGAACAGCGTGTCGTTCACTTTTCGTACCCATAATTTAGCCTTAGTTTTTCTGATAAGTTGGACCTTTTGAAAGTGAAACAATTTATCTATAAGTTACGTCTAGTTTAATGAGAAAATCTGAAAGCAAGCTATCAGCCAATCAGGTTAAAAAAAACAAACTCCTTGAGCGACCCAATAAGTTTGAACTCAGGCAAAGCAGCATATTATAAATATTCCTGTAAAGTCAGTCTAATTTACTTGTGAAGCATTGATGATGTCTAATGTGACATTGAAGTGTTTGCCGATTGAAATTATAGCTGAGAACCGCGTAATCTAAACACCAACACCTTGAGCTACGGGTCTTCTCCACTTCATAGGCCTTCGAAAAGTTGTAATTTAGCTCTTTTACTCTCCTAGCTGAAATAAATCTAAAATTGGAAAACACGGTTGAAAGAATAAAAGATTAATTGGTTTTTTTTGGTGCACTCTGGGATTTTGTTATAGACAATAAAACAGCGGTCGGACATAGACTATTAACTGGTTTATTGTCTGGCTACTGGCCATGTACTATCCCAGGTCATATGTTGCCAACCAGTTTGATCTTAATACACTTTTAGTCTGTTTATTAGAAACGTCACACAGTGAAACAATATCATTTACTGGATAATGTTTCGGACACAAGTCATTGTCCTTATTCATATCAGGCAACTAACTCCACAACTTTAAGATTGAGTTTACACAGTCCCAATTTTCTCTTCTTATCTATGATGACAAGCGTAGTAGGATTTTCCATATATCTGGGACAGGTGCAGAATCATTCCTGTTACTGCATATATTTCGTGTTGATTCGATAAACAAAGATTCGGTTATCAATCTCTCCCTCACTCGATCCAACTAAGTTTTTAATACCATCCTACTGTGTGATTTTGTGCAGAGCCACAGCCGAGCTTTTCTCCAGATTTCTTATCTTATTAGGATCTACTAATCTTGATTTAGCTAAGTTTGTGTACTCTGTTATTCTAATCGAACCTGGTTAGTCGACTACTTTGACCTATGTATTTGACTTCGCGATCATTGCAAGGGATCTGGTAAACCAGATTATTTTGCTGAATTGCATTAATAGGATCTTTTAGCGTACAGAGCTTGTTTCTAAGCGAGTTTGTTGGTTTAAATGCTTCCGAGGTGCCTTCTATGAATGGTAACACAGTTTCACTCATGAGCACTGTAAAGTAATGTATTTTTGACATGAATGTGGATTTTAATTTGGAGGTAGTGATCATATAGTACTCCCAGATTTTCAATGGTTCTCCAACTGATGTCAGTCCGTGATGAATACTACCTCTAAATTAAAAATCCCGATACATCTCAAAGATGTGTTAAGGACGTTCGTAGGCTTTTAATGGTACTGACCTGCAACAACTCCCATTTTAAGGATCAGTAAATCAGTGGGATGCGTTAACCACTTCATTTTTTTTCGGGAGGTTGCACCAGCCCTAAGAGGCTGTTCAGCACCGATGCGAAAAGTCTATTTTGGATCTGCTGAATTAAGCCACCTCAAACACCAACGAGATATCCGACAAAATGCCAAATCAAAAGACGAGAATACGGTGCAGCAGTCTGCTCCGTCCTATTGTACAACTATGCGACAGGGCTATATGAAATCGAAGACATGAGAAAACTACAGGTATCCCCGTCGAATTACTCACGTCTAGTGAAATCACCATACAACCAATATAGAGGTTAGAAGTAGTACTTGACAAGGAAGGCAGGTTAGTTGATTAGGTTATAAACCTTTTACGACTGAAGCGACTTGAACATGTGTTGTGCATTTCAAACCATCGCTTATGTAGCACCCGATGCATGACTAGGTTAGTAGAAGGTAGAGTTAGTTGGATGTAGTCGGCAGGAAGCCCTGGACCTGGATTTCGTACTTTTCGGCACTCATCATCAAGGCGTATCTGCAACCTTCATGAAACTGACGTCCCACAGGTTCGAATCTCAGGTGGGATATCAGTCTCGTCAAGGTTGCAGATACCCTTTCCTGACGAGCGCCGAAAAGCACGAAACCTAGGTCTAGAGCTTCCTGCCTTCATCCAACTAACATCCATCAAAGTGTATCGTGATGTGGAGTCTCCTAGCCTGTTGGTCACATTTCGAAAATGATTGATAGAACTGGGTAAGCACTTAGGGCTAAACAGCATGAAGTTGGTCAAAGCAAAGACTGACCAAACTAAGGTGTAATATCATTCAATAAAGTTTGTGACCATTATTTGTAGCTATGTAAGACGGTTTAGGCTTACTTTCTGAAGTCCTTGAGACGATAGTAATCAGTGGTTTGTGAAACTCAAAGATATAGTTTATTTATTCTCCTTTCCTTCCACTCATCTTAACATCATTCTATTGTTATTGTTTTGAAGTGTGCTTACTTGTTTGTTGTACAGATTACATCCAAAACAGTAACTTATGTCAAATAGGCGATAGGGATTGAATTGCTTTAATATTATATTTACTTGGTCGCTCATCGGCTTAGGAATTTGATTTCTGAACAGTGGCTCCCAGGCCCAAACCCCGGCTCACCTACTTCTGCTTGGTTAACCGGTTAGCATCATAAGTCTTCACCCTACAACTATGGTTCATAGTTTATTACACGTATGAGATTGAGTTGCACTATATTATGCATTTTTCCCTTAGAAACTTGAAGTTGAAAAGTTAGTCTTGGACCAGGTAAGATTGTTCTGCAAATTAACAGTCGATTTATTATCCGTCCATATGTTTCATACTAATAAGGCTATAAAACCCAGCTCAATAGGCCATAAGCTTCACTTAGTGTCTCACTGGTTTCCCAAAGCTAACTAAATAGGTAGATTGGATGTAGGCCAATGTCCGAATGGTTGGTAATTGAATGCCTAAAGCACTTAGCCTCAGTGCCACCACATTTGCAAATGACTGAACACGTCGGCTGGTTTTTAATCGAAGTCACAAATCCCTTGTAATATGGAGGTGTCAAGTACTGAAAGCGTTCAGGCAGTTGACACTTCCTGGTCCCCCACGCCGTGGAATGTTAGCTGGGACATCTACTTGATGTCTGTCATATACAGCTTTTTGCGGATTGCCGGTGTGAGACGTGATTGTTTTAACACTGGAAATAGAAAACCCATATCTCCGGTATCGGAAAACCGTGGGGAAGGGGAGGTCTATTTTCTCTAACCGCCCCCCTTTCCATAGGGAAGGCAACATCAGCGTGGCACTACTGATCATCCAAGTTTAAACACCTTACCGCTGCCACACTTTATCTGGCTAGCAGCAGTACGACTTCACCTTCAGACCCCCACCATGGTGTAGCAATCGACACGACAACAGTAACTGCTTTTCGTCCAGCAAACCTTTCTGGCATAGTAGGACCTCAAGGGAACAAGCATTCGACTAGCATAGCTTGTTGGATCTGGATCATTGTGATATGAAAGGCCGACTACCACATCAAAGTAGCAGCTATCGGCCAAGTGGGTGTGGAATATATGAAATGATGCCATGTTGTAGTCTTATTTGTTGTACCATGGTTTCTTATTTTCCATGAAGACTTAATTTCTCTTTCGCAATTCTTAACGAAGTCTAGTTATGATATCTTTATTTTGCCTACTGAGTTGGTATCTGTGGCAGCATATCTATCTTGATATATTTGCATACATAAAGAAATCTGAGCTTTGGAGGTTATCTTCAAGAATGCCACCTGGATTTCTTTCTACTCAGAGAGAATCAACGCCTGACTTAATCGACTGTCCCCCCCCAAAGCTCACTAAAGTTATTCGTCTAAGTAGTTTTTTAATTTTATGAGGCCAGAGGAAAAGATTTCTATTCCATATTAGATTTTTTTATTTGATTTAGAACACACAGTGATACAGTATTGTTCACTTGGTGACGTTTCGATAGTAAAATTTCCCATATCTCTCGTATATGTGTTGCGTCATTTCTGTTACTTTTGTTGGTTGGGTGTAGATCCAACGAACAAAGATTCAGTAATCAGCAATCTCTCCGTCTCCACCCTATTATATTGGACTTAAGTACAGTGGCTTTATCCCACCTTATTGTGTGGGCCTTCATGAAGGCCGCTGCTCTAGTACGAGTACGAATAATAACAACAACATGAGCAGAAAGGAGTTCACAGCCTCCATTGTGTTAGCCTATAAGGAAGGTACATCAAAAAATGTACGCAGGATCCTCAACTAAGCTGGAATTAGGATGGCATTTAAACCTACAAACTCGCTCAGAGATAAGCTTTGTCAGCTGACTTAAGGATCCGATAGAACCAACTAAGCAAACTAATCTAATCTATCAAATCTGACGTAGTGACTGTGAGGTCAAGTGCATAGGTCAGACTAACCGGTCGGGGTCAATTAGATTAGCCGAACATAGCTAAATATAGAATGACAGACCCGAATAAAATCAATAATCTAGGAAAACATCCAGCTATTGCAATGCGCGCATTAACACACAACCACACAATAAGGTGGGATAAAGCCACTTTACTTAAGCCCAATATAATTAGGTGGAGAAAGAGATTGATTACTGAATCTTTATTCATCGAATGTACACCCAACCAACACATGTAACAGGAAATGATACAACACGTATACGAGTGATATGGAAAATTTTACTATCAATTACAGCAAAGAATATGAGGTGACAGGATTATCTCAATCATTGTTTATTAGTATAATGTTTTTCGATTTGAGTATTTTGTGATGTTTTATCAATATCCTAATACTATCCAGTTGAAATGAATAAAGTAGATGTTGAAACTTGAATTTATGCATCTGGAGGAAATAATAAGAGTCACGTAATCATGACCAATGTTAATCAGATTACATTAGAGATTACTTAGTTTAAAGTTAAATTCTCTATGAAATTGGTTGACTATTCGATGAATACGATTTCACTTTACTATGATATTTAACTTCTCATCAAACTATAATTAGAAAATTATAAATGAGTATAAATATGTTCTGATTGGATGGTAAACTTTAGGTTTCTGCACTTTGTGTCTTAAACTGTCTCACTGGTACAACTAGAGTATAGCTAATTGGTATAACACTCCGGTATGACTAGCGAATTGTTTTGTTTGTTGCTGTACAAAGTGACAAATGAATACTATCCACTCTGTATGCGTATAAGCAATGAACAAGATTTCAGGGAAACTGTTTCATATGAGACCTATTTCTTTTTCTTAACAATAATGAATTAGGTTTACTAATCATAGAAATCATTCTTAGACTTCAACTCAAATTCTTAACTTGATAACCATCATCTTATCGACTTCATTTTAGGCTGCTCTCGCTGCTGGTCTACAAAATGATCCCGTTGTTGAAATGCATCATTTATGGGAAGCTCGAGATCGTTTAATAATGGGACCTGCTAAACGTCGACCTTTAGATGATCAAACTAATAAAGTATCAGCTTTTCATGAAGCTGGTCATGCTCTAGTTGCATTGTTAACAGCTGATAGTACACCGTTGCATAAGGTAAGTGCCTGATGTTTTCTCTTTAAACATAAATTTATTGTAAAGTAGTACTCATTATGGATTGGGATATCAGTTGGAGAATCATCGGTGCGTACTGCTGATGGATCCTACATTAGGACGAAACATGTGCCCAGTACCCCCAGGCTTTTAACGGTACTCTACGTGATGTCAGTTCGTGATGAGTAGTACTACCCTGAAATAAAATCCCCATAAACCTGAAACTCCAAATTTGTATTTGTTTAAAATAAAATTATTACATCATGCAGTGTACCAAAAAATACGTAGTGGGGAAAAAGGTAAGATGATAGATATGAGAGAGGCAACCTACAACGGGGTACCCAAAGAGGCTCACTTCTCTAATACTTTTTTATTCATGTATAGCGCGTATAAGAGAGGACAGTCTTCATTCTATCAAGAATAATTCTTAATTTTAGTGATCACTACAGAAAATTCGCCAAGAAAATGGCAATAAAACATGTTATATTGACTTCAATTATAGTCCCACTTGTAAACACTGGGTTTTCTCTGAGCGCCCTGCATCGTTTTGACGCCTATCAGTTTTTCGTCATGAAGAGTGAGTATATTGTCTCCGAGATTTGAACAATGTGTATAGTCTTTGTAATGAAAGTGAAGATTAAGTTACACTTTTGATTATACCAAAGTATAACATTAGTAATATATTTCGGTTACTCACCAATAATACTGAATGACAGTCACAGAAGTAGGAAATTGTGGATCATTGGATTCCCGACGCAATGATAGAATGATAAAGTACTCACAGAGAGACCAGGTTCGATCCCTTGTAGGTACCTGAGTGAGCACTGCTCAGGAGTCCCAAGCTACAAGCTACACTCCTAGTTCCTCCAGCTGATGTCAGTCTGTAGTGAAGACCATTTGGAAACCAATCGGTCAACCAGTCAAATTTAAGTTGGGTAATACTAAATAGTATAAAAATGGATTAGAAAATCGTTGTGTTGATGTGAGACTGGTATTATCTGACATCCATAGCAGGTCTAGAAATACCTACTCTGAAAGCTATGGTCGTCGCGCGTAGTGTTTACTTCAGGTTTCTTAGACATTTGTTCTGATGACTATGTCCAGCATGAAATTCAAACGTTTACCAACTAAAACTCTAGCTGAGAGAACAACTCATTCTGAATACCCACACACTGAGCTAAAAATATTCATTACAATTGTTATCGTTATATGATTCAAATACTCCGGTCAGTATCCAATGGAATCTCTAGATGGATACTGTTAAATGTTAATTTAGCTTTTGCCAAAGGATATCATTTAAATTCTTGAACATTCTATATGAGTATCCACCAAGAATTGAGCATGAAGCTCAGTGTTATTATCATACTCGATTACATAATTGCTATGTATAGCCCTCAAAGTTAGAGATGAATTAGAGGTGACTACCCTTACAACTCTAGTGTTATTATGAGTAGTGGCAAGACAAGCATGGAGTTTAGTGTAATGGAGACAAACTAACTTGTTATCTGATGAGTCTGCATCAAATGGCTTGACTGCAATATGTGTTACAATCTCTTCTCGTCATCATCGCCTCTCAGCATGTGATTTATTGCACTTGAGTGGTCGCACTATCCTCAAAGATCAGCTGAATGAACATAAAAATTCAGAACAACTAATCAACTAATTGAATTTTGTATATATTTCAATGCAGTGAAGGCAGAAGTAAGACAAGGTTGCCGCCTACTACCACCAATAATCTTCTTGATTGTGGTCGACTGGATCATGCAACAGACAACTGTGAGAAGCGAGATAGGCATACGCTGTTTGACCAGTGAAAAGAGCCTAGAAGATTTGGATTTCGCCAACGATGATTTATGTCTAACATTTTATGTTGCACAAATTCGAAGATCTGTAGGCAAAAACCAAGAAGTTGACAGAAGAGGCAGCGAAAACGGGACACTATTCAAGTGAACGTAGAGAAGACAGAGGTGATGAAGATACCCAACCAACAACAATAACAAGCACCAATCACCATGAACGAGAGAAATTTAAAGGAAGTTGTCTTTTTCACCAACCACCTAAGCAGCATCGTTTCAACTACAGGCGGCACAGATTAGGGCATCAAAGCTAGGATCGGAAAGGTATCAAGACAGCCCTTCAATAACCTGAAATCATTGTGGATATCAGCATAAAGCGTGAACAAGATCTAGATACTCAACACTAATGTCAGTCAGCGCTTCTGTCATGATTGAGAGACTTGGCGGTGCGTGACAAAAAGCATCCCCAACAAACTGCGGACATAGATGGTCAACAGCTGCCACCTACGCTCGCTCGCTCACTCTATACTGAAAATCAGATGACCAGAAAGAATAAGCGAGAAGGGACTCACTCTGGCCTCCCAACGAACCAACCGACCAAGAACGTATCGCCCAACAAATATAGTGAAGAAGAAAGTGGAGATGGATTGGGCATACACTGAGGAGACCATTTGGGGACATCACGTGCCAGGCCATTGAGTGGAACCCGCATGGGAAACGACGAGTTTGGCGTTCGAGCCGATGTATCGACCAAGTATTCACATTGCGCCAATCTTTGGAACACAGACACGCTCACCGGCGCCCGACACTGGCTGTATTTCTCGACCTGAAGGCGGCATTCGACTCCATTGATCGAAAAGTCCTATGGCAATGTCTCTCACTGAAAGGCGTGGCGAGTAAGTACATCACTTTATTGAAGGCTCTCTACTCGAACACTTGTGGGCGTGTTAGAGCCTATGGTGAGATGTCAGGTGAGCTGTACTCGTCAAGTGATGTCCGTCAAGGGTGCCCCCTCTCTCCATTCTTATTCAGTTTTACCATAGACATTTTTATGTAGGTTTCCCTCTCGTCGTCTGGTTACACAGACGTTGACCTAATCGGTGGAGAATTTTCGTTAAACCTAGAATATGCAGATGACATTGTCCTGTTAGGTGAAGACGCTGACTGATGAGATGCAGAGTCTTCTGAACACTTTGTGTAGCAATTTAAGGATGTTTGGGATGCGTTTCTCACCACCCAAGTGCGAATTACTGCTCCAGGATTGGTCTTCAACGGTGCCCCTATATGGCTAACAATAGAGAGTGAAGTGGTTGAGTGTGTTGACCACTTCACTTACCTCGGAAGTAGGATCAGCCCTAATGGCTCAGTGGCCCGTGAAACCGCTGCATGGATACAAAAGGCTCGATTGGCTTTCGCCAACTTACGCCACCTGTGGCGCCGCCGTGATGTCCGACTGTCTACTAAGGGTCGGGTATACTGCACAGCGGTCCGTTCTGTTCTACTGTATGGCTGTGAAACATGGCCATTAAAGGTGGAAGATGTGAGAAGGCTGGCTTCAGGTGTTTGACCACCGTTGCCTTCGTAGCATAGGCCGTATTCCGTGGTGTCACCGCGTGAGTAATGCAGAAGTCAGGAGTAGAGTTTTAGGGAGAAGAGGTAAGTCGGTTGACGAGGTTGTGAACCTTGATGGACTGAGATGGTTGGGATACGTGTTACGCATGCCTACTCGCCGATTGCCTCGTCACACAATGTTGGCGGAAGTAGGTCCAGGCTGGAAAAAGGCCTGAGGTGGCCAGACTAAAACATGGCACCAATGTATGAAGTGTTTGACTGTTGGTTTGAGCCATGCGGGACGATGCAGACTGAGTGGTTGGAGTCCACGGGACAAGAGGAACCAGTGGTTGGAGACTCTAGGTGGTGATATGGCTGAGAACCGATGTCAGTGGCGCAGATGTATACATACATTATCCTCATCTTAACGAGGCTATACCGAATCTCACCGTTTTCTAGTTCTTCGTTTCTCTCTTTTCGTATTTTATATTTCTTCTGACTGCATTCTCTTATCTTCATCTTGCGCCACACTGCCTTTTTACTCGATGTACTGATATGAGGTGTGTGGATTTGGGCCGTTACGCAGTAATGCCTTGTCCTAGGTTGATCTGGATGGATGGATGACGTCCGAGTCGAGGTTGACATGAAGGAGATCTTGTGAAAAAGAAACGAAAGCTTGTGAGCGGTGGTGGAGCAAGGTTGAATAGTCTGCGAAGAAGTGAAATGGCAACGTGCAACTGAAGCCCTATGTTCCACTAGGAACCTGAAGGACAAATAATGTAATAATAATAATATATTTCAATGCAATGAACTTTAGTTCTTACACAAAAGATGTGATCAAGTTAATATGAATATCAGTAAACAGTTTGTCGATTATAATTTTGACTATCTGAGATAGGCTTGGTTTGACAGACTAGTATTGATACTGGATGATGATTAAAGCTGGAATGAAAATTTGGACTGTGGTCGGATTGGAATCAGTGACCAATGAGTTTCCGGCTCGTGTTCTACGAGCTATGGACCTCGTAACTCAGTTGGTAGAGCACCAGGCTGGAAGCCCGATGTTCACTGGTCCGAATTCGGCCATGGTCCATACTTTTATTTCACCTTCAATCACTGCCCAGTTTACTAATTCTTATCAACAAACGTAAGGTCTACAGTTCTTTTTACCAACAAATCAATCCATCATTCATTTTGTAAATATCCTTCGCTGTTCCAGCCATTTATTCCTGATCAATCCACTGGTTCAAAATGCCATAGCATAGCGCCAAAACTCTATTTTGATTTGCGTATAAAATGAGTTGTTTGGTATAATGATACTTGTAACTTCGCGTTGCTATGACAGGGTCGAATTGCCCGACCTTCGTTGACAGATGAATTTCTATGCGAATAAATCGATACTGCCGGACATTTATGATGCTGTATTGACCTTAGTGACTAGCAAAGGAATTCAGAACTCTCATTTCGTCCTATTTGGGACTCATTAGCTAGATGTACCTACACCCCAGTGCGGATTGATGTTGTTCCCACTGAGGCTCTAACCCACTACCCTTCGATTCAAACGCCAGAGCGTGACCCACTAATTAGTTGTTAATTAATTTATTCTTAATTTGAATTTGCGTGTTTTTCATCCGCTGCGTTCTACTATTGTTTGCTTATAATCTGTTCTATTTCCTTCATTTTACACACACATACACAGTTCTTCATTCCGCTAATGTTTTGTTCACATTGTATTACTTTAAATAGGTTACAATTATTCCTCGAGGTGAAGCTGGCGGTCTTACTAGCTTTTTACAAGATAAAGATATGAGCTTTATGACACGTGCACAACTTTTAGCTCAGTTAGATGTATTAATGGGAGGTCGTGTTGGCGAAGAGTTGGCTTTCGGTGAAGACAAAGTTACCACTGGTGCTGCAGATGACTTCAGAGTAAGTATATCAGTATGTTAATTAAGAAAAATATGAAGAATAATATAGTTTTCGTCATTGATTTGATTAAAAGAGAAACAGTTACTGAAGGAGAATAATTTGACGTTATTTTATAGTGGAGATTCTGTTTAGCTGTTTACAATCTAGAAAATCTTTAATAAAAATCTGAGAAAACTTTCACACACTTCGCCTGAATTGATAAAAAAAGGATGAAAATGACGATAGTTTGGTGTTCTCTGAACCTTTACATTTTGTCGTGGATGTGTCGTCCATAGACACTTGGTAATAGTTAATAGTGTTGCTTTCCCAATCATCAGTATGCTTGACAGTTTTTATTAACTCATATCTGGTTGTCTTTGATATTTGACTTCCAAACAGTGAATCTTAACCTGAAACATCACTCCCACAAGGACACCCGATTGGTAGAATTAGCTTTGACCTATCCTGTGGGATTTTCATAGCTTGGTACATGAACATTTACATCAGAGTTGTATTCTTCAAATTGTCGGAAATAATGGTACTCCAAAGTAAAACGCTATATGGTGGTAATCACTTTTGTCGTCAGACTCTCCACTTTGAATTTCTTTTCATTCCTTTACTTCGACTTCGGTAATTGGATGGTATACGTCATTAGTTTAAACACTATTATAATATGGATATCCTATCACAACAGACAGACAGAATCACCGTAGAACCCCCTGACAAGTGAATCGGTTCAAGTTGCCACACTTCACAACAACATGCAAAGAAAACGTTGACACAAAAAGACTGATATCAGAGTATACGAAAGTGTATATGAGAGGAGAAGCAGATTGAAGATAAACGTCAGTGAAACTTTTCAAGCTTTAGAAGTTATCAGGAAGTGAATACATCTACACCACTGTGACCGTTTTTCAGCCATGCGACTAAGACTTCTCAATCACTGATTACTGTCGTCTCGGCGACCCCAACCAGACAGTCTATACCTCCTCACACAACTCAGGCCAGTAGCTGGGAACCTAATCGACTGGTGGCACATCTTGGTCTGGCCACCCTTAGCTTTCTTCCAACTTAATCCAGCCTCTCCCAGGATGACACATCGAGGTAGGCTGTGGCTCGATATGCGCAACACACACCCAAGCCATCTCAGTCGACTAAGGTTCATAACATCATCAATCGACTTGCTTGTCTTTCCTAGTACCCTTCACCTGACCTCAACATTGCTCACACACTCGTTCTACAAAACACAAGAAATCATACAAAGACACCTGTAATCAAAGCTCTACAATGACTTCATGTCTTCTACTTTTAACGGCTATACTATATCTCACAGCCGTATAGGATGACAGAATAGATCGTAGCGCAGTATACTCATCTTTTGCTTACCAGTCGAATATCTCGCCTGTCGACACCATAGATGACGAGAGTTGTTCAAATATTGGAAGGACTTTCTGCATCCTATTGGTAATTAACCTGAATTACATTTGTTGATTGTTTTTTGCCAACTAATTTACTGTTTTCGTAGCCAAAATAAGACTACATTATGATGGTCATCGCATTACCGAATAACAAGAATTAACGATTAGGATTGCCATGATAGGTTGCTGTCACATGGATACACAATCACTGGATGTGAACTTAATCTGTTAGACAGATAATAATAAATTAACTGATAATGATGAGAATGACAATTCTGAGAAGAATTAAAGGCGGTTTACTGAGCGAATTACATTTAGAGTACTGTTAGTGTGCACTTTTTGTGCACATACCATTTGTGTTCGTCTTCTAACCGCGTTCATCTTTGACTCCTGGCCTTCTACATTCCTCATTTATCCAGCTTCTCTCTCTCTTTCTCTCCGGAGGCATTATCTAGTAAATTTGCTTCTTTTAAAACCTTCACGGAAAACACTGTACTGTCAACTACTGAATTCAATTTTTATCAGTAGCATATACCACAATAGGATAAGTATTGAATAAACAATCAATAAAAAGTCAGTTAAACCTACTGAATAGAGTCATATGAAGTCTATCACAGTGAACGAGTAACTGAGTGATATCTGAATTCAATTTCCTACTTCGAAATAACGGGTAAATATAAAGAAGGTTCAGAAAACTGGTTTTATACAATAATAATAATAATAGTTGGAGCCTGTAAAAATGGATTGGCTTTTGTGTCTGACAATGGTAAATATCTTCTAACAAGAAAATCACTTCACTAATTTCCAACTGTTTGATATTAAAGTGGATTAAAGTTAAATAAACCCTGATCCAGTTTTTCTCCCTGACCTTGAAACGTATTGAATACTGAATAAAGAATAATTTTCTTGGTCATATGTTGACGTTTTATTTCATCATTTATCGATCCAATTGTTCTGTATCCAATATGTATTGTAGATATGAGATTATGATATGGATTTGTTAATTGATGACCATTCATTTTATTGGTCAATAGAATAGTAGTTGTAGGCAGAATTTTTCCCCCTTAAAATGATCATATTTCTAGGATTTCTATGTCAATTCTTGGGTTCGTATTCCATAAGTTGAATTTGTATTCGTTATTTCATGTATATACTTGAGTCAAAGTGAGAATATCGCGTCTTCTTGATGTTCAATGATGCATATAAGCGGTAGAGTAGTTGAAGATAATCAACAGGAAATGCTAAACTCAGGTTTCGGTCTTATTGGTACTCATTAGCAAGGTGTACCTACAATGAACACGAAATGTAAGTTTAAGAATTACTTCCAGTTGCCTCTCATCTCATCATAACAAGTGATCAATTGAATTCAATCATGAGTACTTTGCTCTAAATAACACGAAATTAAATACTCTCTAGTTATTAACCAGTGAATACACCTATACGTTTATCGGTTCACTTGACAGTTAAACAAGATTGACTGACTTGAAAATAATAATGGTTATAATAATCACTATATTCCAAACAATATGTAAGATACAGTATGGAATTCTCAGCATGTAATTTTTCAACAAATTCACTCCCAGAACAATACGAAATGGTTATTCCATCTGAATGCTGTTAATAATTACAGTATTCAAGGTAATAATATGGAATAGCCAACTGGTTCTGTATAGATATCCGGTCCATAATAAAGAATCAATAAAAATACAAGCGTGATTCTGGTGTTGACGGTTTATTCGGACAATACAAAAATCTGCAACTCAAGCTAAGCATCTGACGGATAGGAATATGATATACACTGAAAAGTTCACTTCTATACAACGTAACACTTTTTTCTCTGCTTTGTTATGAACTCGAGAAATGGAGAGTTGAAAACAGTTTAAAAATATGCAAGATTGCATGATACGTTTAAAGGACATATTTAAATGATTAAAACAAATTGAAGCGAAAGAATTTGATGCAAAATGTTCGATGGATAAATCTGGTAGGCCAAGGTTCAAGCAGGCCACCGTAGGAGCAGACAGATGTCAGTAATATGAGATCTAGTATGATTACCATACTTCGCACACATACACTTCTCATTGGTACACCTAGTTAACAAACCAACAAATTGGAAGGACAAAGAGATGAATACACTGATATCATTAGTTTATAAAAAGCCTAGAAGAAAGAAAACAATGCATTGTTACCAGTGAATTTATTATTGTCTATCTGACAGATTAAGTTCACATCCAGTGATTGTGTATCCATGTGACAGCAACCTATCATGGCAATCCTAATCGTTAATTCTTGTTATTCGGTAATGCGATGACCATCATAATGTAGTCTTATTTTGGCTACGAAAACAGTAAATTAGTTGGCAAAAAACAATCAACAAATGTAATTCAGGTTAATTACCAATAGGATGCAGAAAGTCCTTCCAATATTTGAACAACTCTCGTCATCTATGGTGTCGACAGGCGAGATATTCGACTGGTAAGCAAAAGATGAGTATACTGCGCTACGATCTATTCTGTCATCCTATACGGCTGTGAGATATAGTATAGCCGTTAAAAGTAGAAGACATGAAGTCATTGTAGAGCTTTGATTACAGGTGTCTTTGTATGATTTCTTGTGTTTTGTAGAACGAGTGTGTGAGCAATGTTGAGGTCAGGTGAAGGGTACCTAGGTAAGACTAAAGTAAACTTAAATTATATCACTTAAAATTGTCAACTGTCGATTTCATGAATGAAGAGAAACCAATATAATGAACAATATGAGTTGAACGAATCGTTTACTAATCGCATACTTGGTGTTTATCACCTTAACACCTATTGTGAAATGATAACTTAGCTGTTTGTTAGTTGATTTTAGCCTATCAGTTTTTCTATTTCTTTCCTTTAATGATATTTCCTTTTCATGTACTCTCTGATAAAATTTTCATTATTCATTTGTTTCATGTTCAACAGAAAGCAACTGTTTTAGCTCAAAATATGGTGAAACGATTCGGTTTCTCAAGTAAACTAGGACCAAGAATTATTCCAGATGTTCATGATGGCCAACTGAGTCAAACAACACGTGATATGATTGATAAAGAAGTTGACCAATTACTAAATGACTCTCTGACACGTGTACGCACTCTTCTTTCAGGTCATTCTAAACAGCATAAATTACTTGCAGAAGCATTACTACATTTCGAGACTTTGACTAAAGATGAAGTTGTAGCTGTGTTGGCGGGCAAAGTAAAACCTCCGAAAAACTCACCTCCATCCTCAAAGCCAACAAGCCTTTTGCCTCAACTTGGCTCTTCAACATTATCGCCGCCACCACCGCCTGAAATTCATGTATAATTTCATATATGTACACAACGCACTGATTATATGTTGTCAAAATCCCCATTGGTGACGTATTTTGTTACTTTAAACTATTGTGTTCTGTCTTACCAAACAAAATTTATCCTTTTTATTTGTATTATGTTAATGGCAATGTGTTATTATTTTCCCTTCTTTTTCTTCTCCTTCCTCCTCCTTTGTTTGTGGACTTGAGTGACTTCCATATCTTGTTTGTTTGTTTCTTTCGTCTTTCAGAACGAAAATGAAGCTAGAGCCAATGGTGGTTGTGTTGTGTGTTTAAACTAGGCGGTAGTTTTTGGTTGATCGATGCACATAGAGATTGAGATTAATCTATGCTGGAAAACGATCTTTAAAATATCGGTTATTATTTTAAGATATTTCAGTTGTGTTGTTCAATTCCCATGAGCTGTGTGTCTTTGCATTTGACACTCAACTTCTCGCTCAGCTGCCTACTCCATTTAATAACGTTTCTACTACAAGGTGGTATCACAATCGTTGTACAACTATTCTAATATAAGCCGCCATTGAGTCCACGAAATTCTGAGTGGGATTGTTGAGTGGCATTATTATGCTATTGTTTTATATTGCGAGCGGATATAATACACACACTTAACTGACAGCCAACTTTGTACGCAAGAGCCACCCAGGATGAAGACAGTAGAAGATTGAAGCTGGATGGGAGAGTTTATTCCTTCGAGAATAATAACCATTTGGGGATTTAAAGATTTTTCAAGTTTCTATTCATCATCGACTGATATCAGTTGGAGGGACATTGGACAGCTGTTTCGTCCCAACATGGGACTCCTCAGAAATGCGCACCCACGACCCCGCACTGCCAGGGATCGAACCCGCAGCCTTCAGGTTCCGCGACCAGCACGTCACTATTGAGCCACTGTGTCCGAATCCAGTGGTCCATATATCCGACATCCATCAGTTCATGACAGTGCGACCGCCACCCAATCTCATCGTTGAGTATTTGTCCTCACGGCCACCAGGTTTGCCCTACTAATCACGACTTCTGACTGGAACTTCAGGAATCACCTCTCAAAGCTAATCACCAATGAGCGGTAAATTAATTGGATTTGGGGGTTTGTGGGGATTTCGAGGTTTTTTCTCAACTTGGATTTCATCATGAACTGACATCAGTTGGAGGAGGTCAAATACTCAACGATGACATTGGGTGGTGGTCGCGCTATGTCGTGAACTGATAGAGGAAGGAAATATGGACGATTGGATTCCGGCTTAGTGGCCCAGTGGTAACGTTCTGGCCACGGAACCTGAAGATCGTGGGTTCGATCCCTGATGGTGTGGAGTAGTAGGTGCGCACTCCTGAAGAGTCCCATACTAGGACGAAACAGTTGTCCAATGTTCCTCCAACTGAAATCAGTCCATGATGAAATACCAACTTGAAAAAAATGACTAATTAACCCAAAACATGTATACACATGAGACATGACCTTGTGCACAAATTGACACAATAACATAGTAAGAGTAAGGATTAACCAATCAGCGAATTACATTCTAAATGGGGGTAGAAAATGAACCAGTAGTCGTGCTGTAAAACAATGGCGTGAAAACGACAATTAAAAAAGTGTTCAGGGCCTTCCAACAGCTATGTAATTCGTTTTACTTAACCTCAAAACTCAAGTCTAATCTGTTTTTAGTATTCATTCGGAACTATTAGTTAGTTTAGTTTGTGATTAGTTATTTTCGCTTACTGAAATTCAAACAACCAACTGGGTGCCATTAGCTCTAATACGATAGGTGTTGTTCGTAGTCCGTTACACGAGTTCGTTGAGTTGATAATAATGTACAAAAAATTTGATCCGAATTACTTTAAAGAAGTGAATTCAAGGAACTCTATATTATTATTATTATTATTATTATTATTATTATTATTATTATTATTATTATTAGTCCCTTGGGTTCCTAGTCGAACATAGGGCTTCACTAGCACGTCTCCAGTGACCTCTGTTCTCTGAGATCTTTTGAACCTGGTCCCACGACAGCCCAGAAGCTCTCATTTCCTCCTCGCACGATCTCCTCCATGTCACCCTAGGACGTCCAACTCGTCGCTTCCCATGGGGATTCCACTCGAGGGCCTGACGCGTGATGTCCTCAGTCGGCCTTCTCAGTGCATGGCCAATCCATCTCCACTTCTTCCTGCATATTTGTTGCGTGATAGGTTCTTGGTTGGTTCGTTCCCAGAGCTCCTTGTTGCTTATGATTTCTGGCCATCTGATCTTCAGTAGCGAGCCAGCGTAAGCAGTTGTTGATGAATGTTTATAGTTTATTGGAAATGCCTTTCGTGACGCGCCAAGTCTCTGAACCATACAAGAGCACTGACTTGACGTTTGTGTTGAAAATCCGGATCTTGTCCCACATGCTGAGTGCAGAAGATCTCCACACTGGTTTCAGGCTAATGAACACCTGTCTTGCTTTTCCGATTCTGACTTTGACGTCCTCGTCTGTGCCGCTGCCTGTAGTTGAAACAGTGCTTCCTAGATAAGTGAAGGAGGTTACTTCCTTTAAGTTTCTCCCGGTCATGGTGATTGGAGTTTGTTGTTGTTGATGATGGTGGTGGTGCGGTATCTTCATCACTTCTGTCTTCTCTATATTCACCTGAAGTCCCGTCTTAGCTGCCTCTTCTATCAACTTGTTAGTTTTTGCCTGCAGATCTTCAAGTTTATGTGACATTAGGCACAAGTCATCGGCGAAATCCAAGTCTTCTAGGTTCTTTTCCGTCGTCCAGCGTATCCCCCTCTTCTCGCTGCCTACTGTTTGCTGCATGATCCAGTCCACCACAATAAGGAATATCATGGGGGATAGTAGGCAACCTTGTTTCACTCCTGTCTCCACTTCACTTCAAAAGCATCACTGAGCTTCCCATTGTGAATTACTTGGCTGGTATGTGGCATCTTCATATAGTTGTTGAATGAGGCGGATAAAGGTTTGCGGTAGTTGAGGCAGAGAGCTGATTGCCATTCTATGCTCTGTTCTATGATGATGCGAAGCGTTGCAATTCGGTCTACACATGATTTGTACTTCCTGAAGCCAGCCAGCCTGTCCCGGTCGTAGTTTTGAATCCAGTGCACCTTTAAGCCTCTCTAGGATGATGCGGCTTAATATTTTACTTGGGGTGGACAGGAGAGTGATTCCTCGCCAGTTCTTGCAAGCACTGAGGTCTCCTTTCTTCGGCAGTTTGACAAGGTAACCCTTCCTCCAATCAATGGCCAGGTACCTTCTCTTCCTTCCTTCTACACCTTCTGCAATAGTGGTGTGGTGTGAGCATGTCCGCTCTTGTCTCTGCATCTGTTTTCAGTGCTTGTGGCGGGATCCCATCTGGTCCTGCTGCTTTCCCACATTTCAGTAGCTTTATGGCGTTCAGGACTTCCATTTTCGTTGGGGGATTTATGTTCACTTGTAGTTCTGTGGCTTGGCTGCAGGTGGTATTTGTGGACGAAATGTAGGTGGTGGTGGTGGTCGATTCAAGACCTCCTTGAAGTGGTCGGCCCATCGTTTCCTTTGTTTCTATTCTTTCGTAATTAAATTTCCTTCTTCATCTTTTATTGGTTTCGTCTGCGTTGATCTCTTCCCTGATAGCAACCTGGTTATTTGATACAATGTCGTCAGGTCTCTCTCTCCTACCAGCCGGCAGCCTGTTCTGCTTCACTTGCCAGTGTTTCGTAGAAGTGTCTCCTGTCTTTGCGTGCACTCTTCTTCTTCACTTCTTTGTCCAGTCTTGTGTTTTATACATTGTACTCAGTTCCTCTTGTCGTTGGGCATCCTTGTACTGGTTTGTCTTCTGCTTCACCATCACCATCCTCCTCTCCCTGCTCTATCAGCTTCCATGTATGCGTCGAGATCCATTCCTTGTCTTCCACCTTCTTCCTTCCTAATACTGTTGTGCAGGTTTCTTTCCACACAGCTTTCAATGACTTCCAGTGTTCTTTCACACAGGTTTCTTCAGGGATGTTGCTCGATATCTCCCATTTTGTCTTGATGGCTGGCTGCCGTGAAGATTTCCTTTGTAGTTTCGTTCTTAAGTGCAGTTTCTGTTCCGAGTGTTGTATTTGAACTGCAGTCTATCACCAGTTTTCTTGAAGGCTATTAACTTGATTTGGAAGGTGGGTTCCTTACACTAGATAGTGGTGTGAGTAGTGTGAACCTACATCTGCTCCTCTTCTTCACCTTGTGTTAAGTGGACTGTGTCTCCATTTTCTCGAGATTGAGATAAAGTCGATTTGATTTTTGGTGTGTCCATCTGGTGTCTGGTGAAATCCATGTCTCTCGCTTTGTGGATATCCTTGTGCTTAAACATAGTGCCCCATCTCCAATCACCAAATCGTTGAATGCACAGAATTCTGCAAACAATTCTCCATTCTCGTTCATCACCTCACCGAGCTCTTCTCTACCCATGGTTAGTTCTCTTCCTGTGTTGTCCTCCCCCCTCCCAGTTTGGCATTCATGTCGCCCCACCCATTAGAATTTTGATATCGCCATGTAGAGTGAGGTCTTGTCCAGTGTTGATTGAAGTTGTCTGTAGAATTCCTCCTTCTTCTCTTCATCTGCATTATTTGTAGGTGCGTAGTGTAGCGTAGTATTGTATGATTGTGACCTTCCTTCCTTCCTTTTGAGTTGAACCTCGCTGTCATGATCCTGCAAGAGGAGATTGGTTCCCACTGCATGAGAGAGAGAGCCTTCGATGCTCTTGGAATGTGGACATCATGATAGCCACTCGATAACTCAGTGTGCTCGTGGTTGTCGTCTGGTTGACGATATCGGAGTAGATTATTGATTCTCCAGTTGACAGTTTGTAGAGTCCACTCCCATTCCATCTTGTTTCGCAAATTCTAAGCACTTGTATGTGATACCTCTTCATCTCGTTTGCAATCTGGTCTGCCTTGCTGGGTTCAAACATGGTGCGGATATTGCATATCCCCACGTTTACTTTCGCTTTCATGGAGAGAGAGAGAGAAGACACGTCGGCCAACTGG